TACTGTTTCTTTATTAACGTCAAAAAATTGTAACACTGGTCTGTTTATTAATTTATTTTTTAAAGACTCTAGTGCTTTTTCTTGTTCCGGTCCCCACGTAAAAAGTACATCTTTTTTAAAAAGATTTCTTAAGGGTTCAGTTTCACATGAAAAATTAGTTATAAATTTACTCACATAAGTTAACATTTCCAACACATGTTGTACATCTTCTTTACACTTAGGAGTTTGCAGTTCTTTAATAGCTGTTACTTTGCTTTCATCTAACGCGACACCCTCAGCACTAATAATATGCCCCATGTACTTGACATTACTTTTACCAAACTGACATTTACTTAAGTTAAATTTGACTTTGTTCCTTTTGGCAGTTTCTAAAACTTTCCTTAGTCTTTCATCGTGTTCCGCTTTGTTTTTCCCCCAGACAATAACATCATCTATGTATTGTTCACAACTTTCACAATTCTCAAAAGTTTGCCTAAATTTCTCCTGAAATACTTCCGGAGCTGATATCAAACCATATGGCATTCTCAGAGATCTATACCGACCAAAAGGAGTTGAGAAAGTGCATAAATATGAGCTTTCTTCATCTAATCGTATTTGATAAAATCCGCTCGTCGCATCTAACGTGCTGAAAACCTTAGCTCCGTTTAATTTAGCTGTAATTTCATCTAACGTTTTAATTAATTGTTCGCGTTTTATATTGTTATTTAAGTCCTTTGGATCCAGACAGATTCTCAGACTGCCATTAGGCTTGCGTGTAATGACCAGAGGATTCACCCAATCCGTAGCCTCTTCCACCTTTTCAATTATTTTCAGCTTTACTAGTTCATCTAAACATTCTTTTAATTTAGGTAATAGAGATAGAGCTACTCTGCATGTCGGATGAATTACTGGCTGCGCGTTTTCTTTTAACTTTATATGATATGGCTTTGAGAAGCAGCCAATTCCCGAGAAAATCTCTTTATACTCCTTCACCAAATCCTCATAAGTGTTGCTATCATTTATACTTTCCAACTTCTTTATGATATTTAATTCTAAACATGACGATAATCCTAAGATCGCTGGAGTATTAGTTTTGACAATATAAAAATCTATTTTAAAAATTCTGTTATTTTTCTTAGCATTAATTGTACATACACCCCTGACTTGTAACTTATTACCCGTGTATGACTTGAGCATTGTATCAGTTGGTTTAACTCTAATGTTACCTAACCTTAACGACTTTAAGTGTTCTACTGACATTACATTACACATTGCCCCTGTATCTACTTTGAATTTTATTCTTTTCTCGTTTATTTCTAGCTCTGTTAACCAGACATGTTTCTCGCTATTATTTTCAATCGCTCCTATGAACAGATATTCTTCATTATCCTGGGATGTAAGAGTGTCTACTTTCTTCTCATCCTTATCCTGAATTTCATTTACTTTCTTTTTATAGTTACTTTTACATACAATTGCAAAATGATTTTTTAAATTGCATTTTGTGCAAAATTTTCCATAAGCCGGACAATTATTTAAATTGTGATTCTTGCCACATTTCGTGCACTTAACGATTACTTTCTCTTTGGCTTTGTAAACACTTTTACCTCCCCCTGCCTGTATCTGACCTAACTTTTTCTGTGATTTAATTAAGTCTACTGTTCCCGTTGCTTCCCCGGTGGCTTCCATCTTCTTGCTCTGGATTTTCGCCTTCTCCATCACTTTGCATTGGTGAATGGCCTGTTCCAACATCAGTGAGTCATCCTGTAGTAGCTTCTCCCTCATCTCGTTACTGTTGACTCCGCAGGTGATCATGCATTTAATTAAGCTGTTTTGTAGATCCCCTAGTTTGCATTTCTGGGCTTGTTCTGTGAGCTCCACCACGAACTGTTCCAGTGACTGTCCGCCTTTCTGTCTCATCGTGAAGAATACGTATCTTTCATACGACAGATTTTCCTTAGGTAGAAAGTGTGCTTCGAATTTGTCGAGTAATATGGGTAGTCTGTCTCTTTCATTCTCTGATAGAGTAACGGTTTTATATATTTTAAAACCTTCCTTCCCTATGTAGTGTAGAAGCTGGGCACATTGCGTTTCCTGTGGCTTCTTCGACACCTCCGAAGCTTTCAGGTAGTTCTCGAATCTGCTGCGCCGCATCTGCCAGTTTTCTGCAACGTTCCCCGACATTCTCATAGGACTAATGCCTCTTGCACTTGCATCTCCCATTTTATTTGCTTCTTTATATAGCCGAGTCTTCTTTTTCCGCCAGTACGCGGTTTTTATTTTTAGGTTAGCTTACTTGCCGCCCTTTACTACGTTGCCAGTCCTCTCCTCTATACCTTTACTTTGTCTGATTTATATTCTGGCTACTTGCGACTGCGCCATGTAATATTAGTATCTGAACTAATATAAATATGATTAATTGTGAGGACTCAAATAATGCACACGTGTATACTATAAGACTCAGTTTATTGCTCTGTCCCGCCAGGCTCTCCTTGTCGTGTCTGCCGGTAAGTTCGCATGGTATTCCTTAAGGCGGGTTCTCAACTGCCTAACAGACGGCAGCCGTTTTGCGATAGTACGTGCGTTCCATTTTTCTGCATTTGAGAAATACAATGGCGCATTTGCAACGGAAAATAGAGTGAAACCCCGGGACAAGTCCGCCCCAATGGCTTGGTCACGACTTTGCCCCGAACACAAGTTTTAGTTTTGGTTGCTTTAAAATAATAGAAATCAATGAAAATAAAAAAAACTGTACTGGATTCGTGTTCAGCATGCATTACTCTTTAGAATCACTTACTTTGAGATTCGGAGAGACAATAATACTTAAGATATTACAAACTTTCGACGCGGAAGAAATTTTACTTTTGATCTGCGAAAACACGTTTGCTTCGATAAAAATCACAACATGGCACGTAACCTTACTAAACTCCGTTGGTCACGTGGGCACCATAAGCCGCGTTTACAGGGTTTACAGTTAATGCTGCGTTAATGGCGAGTTCACACAACATACAGATGAGATAATTGCACAAACGACTCCGTCCCGGGGCCGACTTCGCCCCGGTCTCCCCTAATTCAATTCTGATTTTGACTGTAATAATAGCGAGCAAGTGTCCATTTCCAAATAGGTTTTTCCTTAAAAATCCTGCCCGATCACCCCCGCACTTTTGTAACACCCGCAAAGAATGCACACAAACATACACTTTACACATACATTCTACACTTCTTAAATGTTTTTAATCCCACGTTTAATTTGCTTAGTTTTCACTCATTGTAATATCGATAGTTAATTTAATTTATATTTTTAATAAATGTTTTATTTATGTTAAATATAAATTTCCATCTTCATTTATTTATAACTTAAGATCTCACCCACTACTCATCCTCCTCTCGAAATCGGACAAGGTCCGATTCTGAGTTAAAGGGATTAAATTCCCTGATTCAAAAGAGAACTGACAATCGCACCGCTCACGGAAGGCGTCCTAGCGTCCCTACGGACGTTGAGCCATTGCAAGTACGTTCGGATTGCGCCACGCGCCTCATCTCATGGCGTTTTCGATTTGCTACTCGACCCGACTCGGGTCGCATCAATGGACATGGAATACATACACAGATATGTATGTATTCCACGTCAATGATGCTAGAGTCCTGTATACATGATGCGACCCGAGTCGGGTCGAGTCGCAAATTGAAAACGCCATCAGAGCGTGTACTTGCGAGCGACATTTATAAGTATCTGGTTGCGTCCTTCCTTACCCCTACCCCTCTGGGTTAGCCTGTCCTTCGCTTTCTAGTTTTTCTTATCCTAATCCTGAGGTTAGACAATATTAATAACTTTTTAATTCGCAGAAATCAAAATACTTATGTTTTTATTTTCGTTTAGTCTGTTGTAAAGTCCAATAAAAAAATACATAAATGTACAATTTTTTACCTATATAAATTTCTGATTCGTGAATGGTTGTAATTTTACATACAATACTACAAGGTTCTACAAAAAACGATAAAATCCTTAAGTCTTTTACAACTCGTGAATTCATGAAAATCTACATAAATGTAGTTATTTATAGAAATTTTTTTCGCCAGGGTAGCTATTAAATAATAATCAAATTGAGAATTTTTTCACTTTTGTTTATCCATCATTTATAAGCTTACACTGTACGAAATAAATTATATTTCTGTGATTGTCTTTTATATTTTAGATATAAGGCGAATTGATGAAAATGCTTTTATAACAAATAACTAACATTTTTTTGTCTATAAAAAAATACTTGTTTTTTGCAAATTTATCTTTATCATAATTTATTTTTATATAATTATATCAAAGATATTTAATTATATATATGTCTTTATTTCAGCTATACGCCAAGAGAAAGGACTTGGTTTACATTTCTTACTTAAGCACACATTCATCTCCACACATCATTCATTTTTCTTCTTTACATACAAGCCGTATTGCATTATTATTTACAACCGTTATCTTTTTTTTTTAGCATTTCTTTCTCCTTTTCCATAATCTATTTAGCACCTTTCCTTTTTCTATTCTAAATTTGTCATCGCATATATTCTCTAATCTTTCTCTGTTATTCCTACCTAAATTTTTAAACCACATACTTGTGATATTGCACTCGCTTATATAATGATCTAAGTTGTCCCTACCTGTCTTGCAGAACCTACACTTCGTATCTTCTTCGTCCAGCCAATATTTATTTGTATCCTCTAAATTACCGCACCTTAATTTTACCATCGCTCTAATCTCATCTCCTGTATTTATTTTATCCAAATTTCCTTTTAATAAATAACTGGGTGTTTCGTTTCTCACCTCTATTTCTTTGTACCTTGTATTATACCTTGCCTCTGCTATTTTACTGTTTATTATTTACCCTTGAATGTCCTGTTCCCTTATTCTTACTAAGCTCAAAGATATTTAATTAAATATCTTTAATTTGTTATGTGTTTAAAGTACAAGCTCGCGCAGAAGCCTGATCTCGCGATTTAGATGAGGAAGCTACACAAAACAACTATTAATGTGAACTGTACTGAGATTATATATTTGTTACCGACTTACAATTCAACGCTTAGCTGTTTATCAATCAAAATATATGCATATTCATACAAAGAAATGTCATACAGAAATTAAAGCTGTATAAAATACAAGAAAAAAAGAAATGATTAGTCATATGGAGTGATCCTTTCTCTAATTCTTATAGAATTGTCCTTTTCTTTAATATTCTGAAGAAAGAAATAAATCTCTTGTTTTTAATCAATTAATATTCATCTAAGAATACTGAATATCATATGTTATTTTATGTTGGACTTGTTAACGTAGTCAATATATCATTACATATCTGTTTCTCAAAGAAAGGATCGATTATATTCAATTCACAAAATAATGCATAACATTCATCAATATTAAGAAATATATGTACAAGAAATAATTGTAATTGAGTTAATGCGTCAATGTTCCTTTGATCATAAATGATCTATAGCGAAATATAGCTTGTTTTGTTCTCAAGTGCTTATTCTTAACAATAAAGAGAGGTACATAAATTCATATAATGATTAATCTTTATTATTCATCAAGCAAATCAAGAAGAATAGCACTTTACATTAAACATTGACACACCAAATCTTTATCGTGACACACAAAATGTAAGCCGTAACGCTTCGCATAAATTGAGTATTATTGTAACGCAGGTTTTTTCAGTTAATCTGTTACACGCTGAGAAATAATCATATTATTGATGTAAATAGTCTAGATCGTAATAAGTATTTATACCATGAAACATAAGAATAGTACCAATATCAAGATGTACCAAGTTACATCTTTAATCAAGTATCGCGTATACTTTACTCGAGAATTAAATAATACGTTATAAACATGACTCTATATAAAAACGGGGTTGCAACCACTTGAACAAATACGCAAGATGTAATTGATTTTATTGAGCTCAGTTTCTTGACCGAAAAGATTAATTCACGGCACGTGCCTCCGTCATGATGGTCGAGGATGGATCATCACCATATGCATTCGATATCTCTGAAATCAGTGATCGATTTATAGACCGGAGGTCTCTCTCCGACGTTAGAAGTATATCTAACGCCCCTGCTGGAATGATCACGGTTTACACGATATCGAACGAATTTACCTAGCCTGTATCCAGTTCAAGGAATCCTCGTAATAATGATAAATCGACCATAA